AAGTTGAGAAAGATAAACATCTTTTTCTCTCTGCTATGGGAGTAACGCTTAAAATAAAAGTGACTATTAACATAGTAATGTGTCAGGCATATTTTTCAGAAACTTACAGATGCTGTCATTTTAAATAATTTTAGTAGCCCTTCTAGGGAGATCTTATCACCCAGATTTTTTTTGGTGAGAAATATAAACCTCAGAGACATTCTTAAGCTTCTCTGTATTGCTCAGCTAAGAATAACTATAAAAAGTGTCAAAACCCAGACTTAAAAGGGGGACTTTCTGACACCATCTCTGATTATATGAGAGCAAATCTGTAATACAAAGTAAAGAAATATCATGAGCTGAAGGCATGGTTATAGCATCTTGAAATGTAGATGCCTTTGATTCTATTAATTTAATAAATAGAAATATTGTATATTTTATTTTTGTTGTATTCCATTTGCCAGTTGCTGATTATGCATCAATGAATTATACATACTATTTCTTACTAAGAGACTTTTTTTGCATATTTTCATGTATATTAGAAAGTGCCATTTGACACTGAATGTTAAATGACCTCTCCAGAATTCACACTCCCCTTCTTCATACTGACAAACATAAATTTTATTTGAATGGAACATGTGCCCAGTTAAAATAAAACATTTCTATGTCTCTTCTGTAGATAAATGTGCCCACATGACAAAGATTGGGCCACTGAAGTTTAAAAAAGATATCAGGGGGATGGATTTTATTGAAATGTGGTAAAGGAGAACAGATACATTGGCTTGTACCTTTACCTTTTTTCCATTTAAATTCCTCTTTTTTATGCCCAATATTAAGATACGATATCGGGAATACCAGCTGCTATGTTGCAAGCATGCAAATAAAAAACACTCTTAGGAATGAAAGAACAGAGTTACACAAGGAATGTGAGCCCTGAAAATAATGTTGAGCTTTTTTAGCATTATTCACTCATCTATACCACTGCTGTATCACTTAAAGTTTGAATTGCCACATGTAACAAGAAACCAAAACGTCAGAGCTTAATAAGTAAGGTACACGTTTAATTTTTCAAACAAATAAACCCAGAAATCCACAGACCCTTTAAAGAAAGTGGATTGTTCCTGTAGGACTTCAGTGACAACCCAAATACTGGGAGTGTTCGAACTGTGAAAGTAGGAAAGGGAGATTGTCCACCCCTGAATACATACCCTCATTGGGGAACCTGAAAATCCAGATAACAGGAGGATTTAACCTTACCTAGAGCCAAGAGAACTTAGAGAGCCGAGCGAAATTCAGGGTTACAGGAAGCAGCAGGAAAATGCCCTGTGGCCTCTGGGGCCCCCTGGAAGCCAATTCTTATTTGTTTCACAGTGGTCTGTGGTGAGGGCTGCCAGAGGAACTGGAAAAAGACAACAGACAGAAGCACACCTCCAGCAGAACTTTGTAACAATCCCAACCAAACGTGAAGTTTTCTGGCCAGAATTCAGGGGAGGGCATGAATCTATGTACAGGCTGGGAGGAGCAGAAGCCCAGATTGCTTTCTCAGCCAGGAGGCAGAGAGCCTGGGGCAAGTTCTGAGTCCTGCTTGCCCACTGCCAGGAAACAAACTCAATGCTGTTGGCTGGGGGCACAGTGGGAGTGAAACCAGCCTCTTGGGTTATGTGGAACTTAGGTGAGGTCTGTAACTTCTGGCTTTGCCCTGCTTCTCTGAGAACCTGCATGACACAGCAGAGGTAGCTATAATCCTCTGGAGAACATAACTCCATTGACCTGGGAACCACATCCCCAGCCTCCACAGTGGTGGCAGCAAGCCGCACCCAAGAAGAGTCTGAGTTCAGATATGCCTAATTGTACCCCTATCTCATGTTCCTTCCCTACTCACTCTGATAGATGAAGATAAAGGTCATATTGTCTTGAGAGTTCTAGGGCCTCACACACAGCCTGGTCCTCCCTATACTACCTCAGCTCATGCTATCTTGAAAATGTCACCTCCTGGCAGGAGGCCAACCAGCACAACACTACTGTAATAGAAAACAATAATATATCTAAGGGCTTTTACAAAGTTTATTTACCTCCCCTGCCACCTCCACCAGAGAAGGTGCTGGTATTCATGGCTGAGAGACCTGAAGAGGGTTCACATCACAAGACTCTATGCAGAAACTTCCCAGTACCAGCCCAGGGACTGTTAGCCCTGCTGGGTGGCTATATCCAGAAGAGAAATAACAATCATTAGATTTCAGCTCTCAGGAAGCCACATCCTCTGTAAAAGGAGGAGAGTACGACAATGGGATAGCAACTTACTTCTGCAAGAACGGCCATAATCAAAAAAAATTTAAAATAATAGATGTTGTCATAAATGCAGTGAAAAAAGAACACTTCTACACTACTGGTGGAAATGTAAAATAGTAGAACCACTACAGAAAACAGTGTGAAGAATCTTTAAATAACTAAGAGTAGCACTAGTATTTGATTCAGCAATCCCACCACTGGATATCTACCCAGAGGAAAAGAAGTCATTATGAGAAAAAGATACTTGCACACACAGATTTATAGCAACACAATTTGTAACTGCGAAAATATGGAACCATTCCAAATACCCATCAATAATGAGTGGATAAACAATTTGTGGGAGATATATATATATATAAAATATAAACAATTTGTAGGATATATATGATTATGTTACATATATAATCATATACAATCATATACATGATTATATATGATATATACAATCATATATGATGATGATTTATATATATGATTCCATCATATATATAAAATATTATATATAATTATATATACATGATTCCATCGTGTGTATGTGTGTATGTGTGTGTATATATATATATATATATATATATACACTATTACATTGATTGATTTGTGCATGTTGAACCATTTCTTCTTTATCCTAGGGATAAATCCCTAGGATAAATTTGGTCATGATGAATGATCTTTCTAATGCATTGTAGAATTTGGTTTTCTAGTATTTTGTTGAGGATTTTTGCATCAAATTCAGCAGAGATATTGACACCAGGGATAAATTCCACTTGGTCATGATGCGTGATCTTTCTAATATATTGTAGAATTTGGTTGGCTAGTATTTTTTGAGGATTTTTGCATCAATATCCTGCAGAGATATTGTCCTGTAGTTTTCCTTTTTCTTTATGTGTCTGTCTGGTTTTGGTATCAGTGTAATAACTAGCCTTGTAGAATGGGTTTTTCAGTATTTCCTTCTCCTCTATTTTTCAGAATAGTTTGAGTAGGATTGTTATTAGTTGTTCTTTAACTATTATTTTAGGTAGAGGAGTACATGTGAAGGTTTGTTACATAGGTAAACTCATGTCATCAGTGTTTGTTGTACAAATTATTTTATTACTTAGGTATTAAGCCCAGTACCCAATAGTAATCTTTTCTGCTCCTTTCCCTCCTCCCACTTTCCATCCTCTAGTGGACTTCAGTGTTTGTTGTTTCTTTCTTTGTGTTCATAAGTTCTCATTATTTAGCTCCCACTTACAAGTGAGAACATGCAGTATTTGATTTTCTGTCCCTGTGTCAGTTTGCTAACAATAGTAGTCTCTAGATAGATCCATGTTTCTGCAAAGGACAGAATCTTTTCCTTTTTATGTCTGCATAGTGTTCCATGGTGTATATGTACCACATTTTCTTTATCCCAATCTGTCATTGACTGGCATTTAGGTTGATTCTGTGTCTTTGCTATTGTGAATAATGCTATAATGAACATTCGTGTGCATGTGTCTTTATGGAGAGTGATTCATGTTTCCCTGGGTATATACCCAGTAATCAGATTGCCAGGTCAAATGGTAGTTCTGCTTTTAGCTCTCTGAGAAGTCACCATACTGCTTTCCAGAATGGTTGAACTAGCCTTGTAGCCATTCTACAAGGCTAGTCATTACCCTGATACCAAAATCAGACAGACACATCAAGAAAAAAGAAAACTATGGGTTGAACTAATTTACACTTCCACCAACAGGGTATAAGTGTTCCCTTTTCCCTGCAACCTTGCCAGCATCTATTATTTATTTATTTATTTATTTATTTATTTATTTATTTATTTATTTATTTATTTATTTTGAGACAGAGTCTCACTCTGTTGCCCAGGCTGTGATCCCAGCTCACTGCAACCTCTGCCTCCTGAATTCAAGAGATTCACCTGTCTCAGCCTCCTGAGTAGCTGGGATGACAGGTGCACACCACCACACCCAGCTACTTTTTGTATTTTTAGTAGAGATAGAGTTTCACCATGTTGGTCAGGCTAGTCTTGAGCTCCTGGCCTTGTGATCCACCCACCTCGGCCTCCCGAAATGCTGGAATTACAGGCATGAGCCACTGTGCCTGGCCATCAGCATATATTGTTTTTTTGACTTTTTAACAACAGTCATTCAGACTGGTGTGAGATGGTATCTCATTGCAGTTTTGACTTGCATTTTTTTTATTGATCAGTGGTGTTGAGCATTTTATATGCTTGTTGGCCAAATGTTCGTCTTCTTTGGAAAATTGTCTGTTCATGTCTTCTGCCAACTTTTTAGTGTTTATTTTTTCTTTCTTAAATTTGATTAAGTTCCTTATGGATGGATGTTAGACTTTTGCCATTTTCACAGTTTGTAAACATTTTTTTCTCATTTTGTAGATTGTCTGTTTACTCTGTTGATTGTATATTTTACTGTGCAGAAACTCTTAAGTTTAATTAGATCCCTCATTAATTTTTGCTTTTGGTGCAATTGCTTTTGTTGTCTTTTTCATGACATTTTATCCATTCCTATGTCCAGGATGATATTGCCTAGGTTATCTTTAAGGTTTTTATAGTTTTGGGTTTTACCTTTAAGTCTTTAATCCATCTTGAGTTGATTGCTGTAGATTCAGCTTCAAATCTTCTGCATTTAGCTAGCCAGTTATTCCAGAACAACATATTGAATAGGGAGTCTTTTCCTCATTGTTTGCTTTTGTTAGCTTCACAAAAAATCAGCTGATCTTAGGTGCAACCTTATTTTGGGCTTTCTATTCTGTTCCACTGGTCTGTGTGTCTGATTTTATACAAGTACTATGCCATTTTCAGTACTGAAGCCTTGAAGTACAGTTTGAAGTTGGGTAATGTGGTGCCTCCAATTTTCTTAGTCTTGACTTCTATTTTTATTAAAGCATGGTCTGAGAGTGTGCTTTGTATAATTTCCACTCTTTTGCATTTGTTGAGGATTATTTTATGTCCAATTTGTGATCAATTTTAAAGAATGTGCCATGTGGCAATAAGAAAAATATATATACTGTTGTTTTGGATAGAGAATTCTGTAGAGATATATCATATCAATTTGGTCCAATTATGAATTTATCTCCTGAATATCTTTGTACATTTTCTGCCTCAATGATCTATCTAAGACTATCAGTGGAGTGTCAAAGTCTCCCACTATTATTGTTTGTGATTCTGTGTCTTTTTGTAGGTCTCTAAGAACTTACTTTCTGAACTGGGGTGCTCCTGTGTTTGGTGCATATTTACTTGGGGTAGTCCAATCTTCTTGTTGAATTTAACTCTTTATCATATATAATGCCCTATTTTGTCCTGTTTTTTCTTTGTTTTCAGTCTCTTTTGTCTGAAATTAGGACTACAATTCCTTCTTTTTTCTGTTTGCCATTTGCTTGGTAGATTTTTTTTTCTAACCCTTTATTTTGAGTCCATGGGTGTTTTTATATGTAAGATGGGTCTCTTGAAGACAGCATATCATTCGGTCTTGCCTTTTTACCTAGCTTGCCACACTGTGCCTTTCAAGTGGGGGAATTTAGCCCATTTACACTCAAGGCTATCATTGATATGCATGGATTTGATACTACCTTTGTATTGTTTGATGGTTATTTTGTGGGCTTGTTTGTTGTTGATTCACAGTGACACTGGTTTGTCCATTGAAGTGTGTTTTTGTATAAGCTGGTAGCAATCTTTCTATATTTATTGCTTCTATTGCAATCTCAGCTTTTGTTCTTTTGAGAAAGTCTTTATTTTGTCTTCATTTTTGAAGGCTATTTTTGTCAGACGTACTATTCTAGTATATATATATTTTTTCCTTCAGCACTTTAAATATGTCATTAGACTCTCTGTCGGCCTGTAAGGTTTCCACTGAAGGGTCCACTGCCAGATATCTTGAAGCCCTATTTTATGTTATTTGTTTATATTCTATTGCTACTTTTAGAATTCTTTCTTTATCTTTGACCTTTGGGAGTTTAATTATTAAATGCCTTGAAGTATTCTTCTTTGGATTAAATATACTTCATGTTCAGTTGCCTTCTCTACTTGGATATTGGTATCTTACTTTAGGTTTGGAAAGTTATTTGTTATTATTCCTTTGAATAAACTTTCTACCCCTATCTCTTTCTCTACCTATTCTTGAAGGCCAATGACTCTTAAATTAGCCCTTTTGAGGCTATTTTCTAGATCCTATAAGCATGCTTCACTGTTTCTATTCTTTTATTCTTTCATCTCCTCTGAGTATATATTTTTAATTAGCCCGTCTTCAAGCTCATTAATTTTTTCTTCTGCTTGATCTATTCTGCTATTAAAGGACTCTGATGTATTCTTCAGTATGTCAATTGCATTTCTCAGCTCCAGAATTTCTGCTTGATATTTAATTATTTCAATCTGTTTTTAAATTTGTCTGATAGAATTCTGAATTCCTTCTCTGTATTATCCTAAATTTCTTTCAGTTTCCTAAACATGGTTATTGTAAATTCTCCATCTGAAACGTCACATATTTCTGTTTCTCTAGGATTAGTCCCTGGTGGCTAATTTAGTTCATTTACTGAGGTCATGCCTTCCTAAATGGTATAGATGCGAGTAGATGTTGTTTGATGTCTGAGAGTTAAAGAGATAGGTATATATTGTACTCTTCATTGTCTGGAATTATTTGTAGCCATTCTTCTTGGGAAGGCTTTCCAGATATTTTAAAGGACCTAGGTATTGTGATTAAAGTTTCATCTGCTACAGGAAGTACCCCAAGCCCAGTAATGCTGTGGTTCTTGCAGAGTCATAGAGGTATCCTCTTGGTGATCTTAGACAAGATCAGGGAGAATTCTTTGGATTACTAGGCAGAGATTTTTATTTTTCTCCCTTTTTTTCCCTCAAACATACAGTGTCTACCTTTCTGTTCCTGGTGTGTAGTGACACAAGCAGTGGCAACCACTGCTATGACTGTACTGGGTCAAACCTAAAGATACAATAGCACTGAGTCTCATCTAATGTTTGCTGTAAACTACTTCCTGGCTACTGCCTATGTCTCTACAATCTGTAGATGGCAAATCCAGCCTTACCAGTATCGTTCCTTTAAAGCAGTGAGGATTCCCAGACCACAGTGGGTTCATAAGTGCCATCTGGAATTCAGGGCATAGAGTAAAAATCCTTAGAAGTGTACCAAGTGAGCTACTCTATTGTGACTGAGCTGACCCTCAAACCACAAGACACAGATTGTCCTGCCCCTTTCCCAAGGCCAAGAAGCCTCCCCTTCCACCACAGACCTCGAGGAATATTATCAGATTTCTGCCAACATTCCCTAAGGTTCAAGATCACTTAAGTCAGCTTGTGGTGAATGCTACCTGACCTGGGACTCACCCTTCAGGGCAGTGGGCTTCCCTTTGGTCCAGGGAAGGTTTATAAGTGCCATTCAACAGTCAAGTCCTGGAATCTAGGACCAAAGAGCCCACTTGATGCTCAACCTCCCCTCCCCTCCCATGGCCATGCGGGTACCTAAGGTGCAAGACAAAGTCCTTTGTACTTTTCCCTCTGTGTTTCTCAAGCAGAAGGAGTATTGCCTGATAGACAACACAGCTGGGAATGTGCTGAGTCTCACCTGAAACTGGTAAGTCTCAGAGGCTCACCCAAGGCCGTTGATGTAATACCAATGTATTGCTATTGGTTATTCAGGGCCTAAGGAATATTCAATTAGCAGGTGATGGATGCTGCCAAGACTGGGTATTTCTTTCAAGGTAGTGGGTTTCTCTGGCTCAAAGTATATCTAAAAATGTCATCTGAGGGCTAAGGCCTGAGGGGCCTCATAATTCCGACTAGTTCCCTATCCTGCTGTGGCTGAGCTGGTATCCTAGATACAAGACAAAGTCCTCCACACTCTTCCCTGTCCTCTCCTAAAACAGAAGGAAATGTTCTGTTTTGGAGCCAGGAACTGTGCATCCCAGGGTTAAGGGAGGAGTAATAACAGCACTCATTTGGCTGCTCTTGCTAGTGTCTTAGTATGTCACTTGTTCCCTCAGTTCCCTTTCTGGGCCTAGTTTAGCATCAGGACTCACCTAAGAGTTGCATTCCTAACGATCTGATTAACTTCAAGTTGACTTGAAGACTGAGAGCACTGTAGCCCTCATTTATGAAGTTTTCAGGGATTCGTGTTCCAATCAATGGGATTGGCAATTCCTCGCTGGCTATGGCTGGTTTAAATGCTCCCTTTGTAAGGTGACATCAGGTGATTTTGATCTGTTTCTTTCTTTCTGTTCTAACAGCAGCACACTGAGTTCAATGCCTCATAATTGCTGTGCTCTCCCTCCCCATGCACCCAGATATGCTGTCCACAACTTACCACTATTGCCATGTGGTCAGGGAGGGGTGGCATTGTCTAGTGAGTACTGCTTTTTTATATCTCTTTAGTGCCTTTTTCAGTGATATAAAGTTAAGATCAGTTACTGAGTGCACACCTGATTTTTGGTTGTCATAAAGATGGTTTTCCGTGTAGATAGTTGTTAAATTGGTGGCTTTATCAGGGTAATAAGCAGTGAAGCCTTCTAGTCCATCATCTGATTCTGCCTCCAAATGGTTTTAAAATATCAATCATATATTATCTGTAAAGATTTTTAAAACGCATATGTCTATGCTTCATCAGAGAATTTGCTTCAGTTGACCAGAAATACAGATTTGAAACTGGTATTTTTATTAATATAGAAAGAAAATATTCATGTGAAAATATTCAGTAAGATTGGGAGCAAGCAGATAAAAATGTTGAAATTGGACTGAAAAAACTTTAGTTATTCATCATCACTTTTATAATTACCCTATATGTATTTGAGAGTTTACTAGAATATGTGTACATGGATGGAAAGAAAGACTACGTATATCTACTTAGTTGGGCCTCATTCTCAATATGGTCCTATTCAGTTGTATTGAGAGATGCCATATAATACTGTCTAGCAGATAATTTGCTTTACAAAGATAATTTGAAATTTAAAGTATTAAAGCAATGATAACAGACAGAATTGATATGCATTCAAAATTGCAATACAAATAAATTATATTACCTCATTACATGAAATAATATTATATAAAGCTCTGCACTCATTATTTCAGATATATACAATACATACACAAACACAAAATCTCTCCTAGAGAAACATACTTGATGTTTTATAAAATTATCCCAGATATCTTAATTAAGATTATCCAGGTTGAATAAAGAGCATATTGTCTGATTTAAACATATAGTAGCCCCAGTTCTTCCATGTTTTGATTCTACCTGAAAATAATAACTTTGAGAACATCTGGCACATATGCAACTGATCCAACATTATTTTTCCCCAGACAATGGTATAAAAACAGATCCAAGTTAGAGGGATGGCAGGTTACTTCCTACAATATCCATTCACTTAAACTAGGAATCTTCTTCATAAAAACCTAAGAAGGAAGTCCATCCAGAGCTAAAAGCATTTTTAATTTGAGCAATAAAAGTGAAGTGCCATAATACTTGTATTTTATACAAGAACAATAAAAATTTTTAAATGCAAATCGTGTTAAAGTTCTATGAAAGTGTAAAACCTTATTTCAAACAATAACATGATTGAGAAGTTTTGATTTGTTATTAAGGATAAATAGGTTACATATATTTACCCTCACTAAAAATGACTAAAATATGTCATATTATATACATATATATATATAATGTCATATTATATTTATTATTTATGCTTCTCAGAACTACCTTCTCCTATCTAGGTGACAGAAAGGCAGCTCACAAAATTATTCTAGGCCTTCATTAAAAAAGGATGTTTCACTATCACAGCTATTGCTGCTTTAAAAACAACAAAACTATGACAGCAATTTCTCACAAGTATCTGCCAATTGGCATAGATATTAAAGGGCCTCAAAATTTATATTTGCTTTTTTGTAAAATAATGAAAAAGTTAACCTTGTGTCAAGCTAGCTAGCTGATCACATTAGATTGGATTTATGCAGACTCCTTGGTGGATTTTTGAAAACAATTTTCTCATCTTCAACTGCCCTAGTATATCGTAAACTTTTAATTGTTTTAATATATGGAATAACTTTAATTATAACATTAATTTATTAACTTTGCTTCAAACAATAATTTACTTCTTGGAATGGTGATGTTGAAATAGGAAATCTACATATTTGACAGATTATAGGTTTTTCTATAGAAGGGGCTTAAATAATTTTAAAAAAATGTTAATAAAATGTTTACTTCATGTACATTTCCTACTTGGAGTTCTCATATAAACCATTCTAGGGTCTCAGCTTTTCCCCTTTTATTTTCTACTAGGATACTTACGAATTTAGAACTGAGGAAAGCCCCCCTAAATCACTAAATATAGAAGTGCATTCAAAGCTATTTAGAAGCTAAATACTCTTTTTTCCCCCTTAGTAAAGGCTTCTCTATATTAAAATTAAACATCTTTGAAAATTAAAAATCTTTGCCTTATTGATTTTTATGTATTTATTTTCGAATAAGTTAAAGATCATTTTACAGACACTCATATTGGCCTGTAGTTTTTCTTTTTCAGCTAGCAAACATAAGATATTGTGTTTATCCTTTTATTTCCCCACATATGTGGACTGAATATTATCCTACCTCAGACTATTGTTAGCTGAAGCACATTTATATTTGCACTGTAAAACCAAAGTTACAGCAGTTAATCTAAAAGGTCAGTCCATGAAGGATTATCTAAGGCAAAGTTTAGCATATAGAAGTCAAAGATCATGCAACTTTCCTGCTGGACCCTCTGTCAAGCCATGCTTACTGTCACCATACAGTGGTACACAAAAAGAAACCATTAAGAGGCTAGGGCAGAATTATTGGAATTGCCAGCATAGGGAAGGATCTGACACACCTGCTGTGTGTTCACAATAAACCAACTTGCCTATTCAGTTCCACAATTTAACTGTAACACTAGGTCATACTGTGCATGGAGTTGCAAATCTCTTTGTTTTTAGCAAAATGCCTTTTCACTAAATAGCTATGCATGCTGCCTGGATATTACTCCATGTATCCTTCTGATATTCTCATGAGGAAGGCAAATGACAAGGCTCATAATTTTACTTAATGAAAGGGAGAAGTGTCAAATGTGAAAGACCTATTATTTTATCACATTGAAAATGAAAATCGAGCTCATAAGAAAATTTATCTATGATAATTGCTCTTTTACTACAGTTCCACTTCCACTTGGATATATGTATATGTTATAACTGATATATGATTTTTAATGTTTGACTCTATTTGTATGTATACATTTTTTGATTGTCTTCAGAAAAGTCTATATCTAGTGATACTATTGGTACAACTAACTAAACGCTAATATTATTTCTTCACATAAAAGCTGTGAAAGACTGACTAGTGTAAAGATCCCCTGTCAAAATTTTTAAGAAAAATATCTATGGAATATTTTTAATTACTTATAGAGATTGAAATAAATTCTTGTTTTTTAAATCATTATAAAGTCTAAAACCCTTGGTTTGCTGAAGCAGGCTTGTGTCAACTCTCAGAGCAGATTGTTAAATTTGGGTTTTGTAAGCTGGTTGTCAATACAACCATTATAACATATACACATATATATGCACACACCTATGCATATACATAATATACAATTAAATTATATTAAAGATACAAGTAATAAAAACTAAATCTTATTTCCTAATTGTCATTTCATGTTACCATTCTCTATGTGAGGATAATAATATCTATCATATCTGTATGTTTAAAATACTGTATGACATTCTACTATTGAGCATCCCTTCACACAGTAAGTTTCAATGAAATTACCTTGGTAGCTTGAAGTCGACCGTGGTAGAAGTATTTACACCACAGCAATCAGCGAATTCTACACATCAGACTTGGTTTATTTATTTTTTAATTCATTGTCTAAATCAGGAGTCAGTAGGCTACCACCTGTGGGTCAACTGCCTATTTTAATAAAGTGTTATTGGAACTCTTCACACTCTAACGGCAGAGTGGAATAGCTGCAATAAAGACCATATGGCTAACAAGCCTAAAGTATATACCATATGGTTCTTTGCAAGGTTTGCAAAACCCTTGTCTGGGCTGAAGAAAACAATAGAAACATGTTAGTAATGAAGCTGAAATTTAAAAGTTTGTAGTGTCATCAGCCATTACTTTATGAAAAGCATGAAGGAATTAAAAATTATTCTTTCATTATTTGATAGTTCAGCAAAAAATCGGTCTAACATGACTGATGAAAGAGTGAAGTTCCAACATATGTCTTCTCTGTTTTACTTGCATCTTGCTCATGAAGGTAAACAGAAATATCCGCCAATATTTATGTCAGATCTACATTTATTTATCACCTGCAGCTAGACTTGCTAATGGATATAAGAGTTCAGCAAAATATCAACATAAGCATATTGTTGGAACCAATTGTCTATATAAAATTAATAATAAACGATAGTGGATATTTTAATATTTGTATAGTGTGTCACACAACATTTTTATCTATAACATTTTTATCTATAACATTTTTAGTAAACATATATGTATGTGCGTATATATGTAGTCCTTTTGAGAGCCATTGGTATTCATATACCAGCATACCACTTTCTAAAGCTATGTTCCTTACTTTCCTTAAAAATACTTCAAAGGTGTCTAGCTGTATTAATTATTATACAATTGTACAATAATAGGTACTATATGAATGCCTCCTAATACAATGTGCAGTTTTATTATCCATTTTTTTTGTTAGCTACCAAATTATTTACAAAATTGGTTACATGAGTTTTTTCTTTATTTCAAATTAAAATTATTGGAAACTGGAATTAAAATATTTGAAAACTTTATGCAAAGAAAGAGCATGATTATTATGCCAAGAAGATATTACACCATTGCAATTTTCTAGAAAAATTGTAATACTAATTTTAACACAGCTTAATACGTTGCTCCCGTTGTATATTGAAAGGCTGTCATTTTAGTAATAATGGGTTTTTTAAAAGGATTATCAAACAGCTGCTACATTTTTATTTGATCATTAATGGGTAATATCAAACATATAAATAGCCCAGAAGTCCCTCTTTAGTGTATAGTCTTATGTATAAAATTATATACATGTACTCTCTCTTTCTGTACAATAAAAAAGCGAAGATTTATTATTTTTATTTTTCACAAAATAGCAAATACCACCTTACTAATAGCTTTCCACTGCAAAGACTGAATTACTTCCTCATCTGCTTAGGGCTCCAGGTGGAGTCAGTAATTTCACATTCATTGAAAGAAATAGAAAGAGACTCTATAATCTAGAGCTGTGTAATTCAGTATTTCAAAGAATTTCATATTCAGCATAAACCCACAAAGCTTACATAATGAGTATTTCATTGTTGAATGACCCCCTTGCAGTTTGATTGTGAGTTTGCTATTCTACGGTGTATTTCAGAAATTAGATTTTGAAGCTTTAATGAAAGTAAATTTCAGTACTCTCAACTGTAACTACATAGTGTAACCAGACAAAAAGTTGAAAACAATAGTAAAAACAACTTAGTAATGTATTGCTTAAGTAAACTAAAACTGAAATACAACCGGGTTGTTTCAGCTAGTTGGTTAAATCTATAATCTATATCTGCATAAAGGAAACAGAATGTCATGTGTGGATTCCAGAGTTGATAGAAAGATTAAAAAGTGATATTTCTCTATAGGACAGAGGCTACAGAACTGAGAGATGAAGAATTTTGTCTACTGGAATGCATGTATATATTTATCTAATTTTAAGTAATAATTAAGGAAAGACTTTTCATTTAGAAGTTCATGTCAGCTCAGGGGTTCTTAGGAACCCAAGTTATATGAGGGGTTATTAAGCCTAAATTATAATGTCTTTGTCCTAAGCCTGCCATATTGAGGTTTTCTTTCTTGTTATGATTTACAAATCTCAGTTATTTTTTTCCTATGATATTTAGAGGAACCTTAAGAATCTGATTGTGGTGCATACTACCTATGCAGCCATATGGGAGGCAACTGTCACGTGAAAGGGGGACCCAGGCTAGTTCAAAAGAACAAGAGTATTTCTCAAAGATTTTAAAGGGAGAATGTGAATCACACTTGAGAAGTGATAAATAAGTTGTGAAGATAAGACAGAGTACAAAGTCATGCCAAAAAGATTGAACAGCAAAGTCTGTAGGTAGTAGCAACAGCAGGTTATAACAAGTGACACATACCTTGATGCTGCACATCAAGAGCATGCTAGAATTTGCTGTTAACTGATGTGGGTAACCATTTCAGCCTATGGAGTTTCTGGGGGAGCTATAACAACCCTAATGCTCAGGCCACAGCCCGGAACAATTAAATTGGACTATCTGGAGGTGGGACCCAGCTAGCTGTATTTTTTTAAAGCTTCCCAGATAATTTCAAAGTTCAACAAGGTTTAGAAGCCTGCCTTAAAGAAAATTAAAGGTTTTTTTTTTTTTTTTTTTTTTTTGCTTGATTGCACATTATGGTCATCTGGGAGTGTTGATGATGTACCAATGTCTGATTCTGTCCCCAAACTAATATATTCATAATCTCTGGGGATGAGCCCCTGGGATGGGAATTAGTGGAAATACAGACTTTTTTAATGTAGACAGCAAATTACCATGCCGCTATCTTTTCACTGAAGTGGTTCAGAGACAATAAGAGAATTAGCTTCAGTAAATTCAGAACTACTAATTTTCTGAGAAAAAATGTCAATAATAGTTTACATCTTAAAAGCTATGAAGTTTTTCTTCACATATAAACTTTATACTTTATTATTTTAATTTGATTACCCCATGGGTAAAAATCTATTAAATACAAATTAACATTTTATATATTATCATTTTACATTATCATAATTTTTATACAAAACCTTCATTTAATTAGAAATTTCTAATGCTGAAAACATGATTTTTTTTTCAGTGTTATCTAGTTAAAGGAATTAAAATAGAGACTCCCTAAAACCAATTCAACTGCCAAAGTTCCATTCCTTCAGCCCCTGTTTTGTAATTATTCATTGTCACAAAAGTCAAAGCGTGTGAGTAATACTGTACTTGAATACTCAGAAAGGAAATTGTTGCATAAATAATTAATGTTGTGAAAGGTTAAACTTAATTTGAAATTAGGTGATTTTTCTCCTGCCAGGGTTACAGACTTTGAAGGTGAATAGTCTGATAGATTTATTTACTGAGGGGAAAATGAATGCTAATAAGTAGCTTTTTGTGTTATGCAGATTCCCCAATATAATTTCTCACTAATAATTAATCAGCTGTGAACAAAAAAATAGAATGCTGTGGTTAAAATGTTTCATTGTACATATTTATGGGATATAGAATGGTATTTTGATATGTGTACACAATGAGTAATGATCAAATCAACATAATTAGCATATCCATCACTGCAAAAATTTATCATTTCTTTGTGTGGTGAACATTCGAACCCTCTTTTCCAGCTTTTTGAAACTATACAATAAATTATAGTTAATCGTATTCACTTCACAATGCTACAGAAACCAGAACTAATTTCTTCTATCAGTTAAAATTTTATATATGTTAGCCAATTTCTCCCCATCCTCCCTTTTCCCCAAAACTTTCCAGCCTTTAATGTCCACAATTCTGCTCTCTACTTCTATGAGTTTAATTCTTTTTCTTCATTTCTTTCTTTCTCTTTCTCCTTCCTTCCTTCCTTCCTTCCTTCTTTCTTTCTTTCTCTCTCTCTCCTTCCTTCCTTCCTTCCTTCCTTCCTTCCTTCCTTCCTTCCTTCTTTCTTTCCTTCTTCTTTCTTTCTTTCTTTCTTTCTCTCTCTCTCTTTCTTTCTTTCTTTCTCTCTTTCTTTCTTTTTCTTTTTCTCTTCCTTCTCTTCTCTTCTCTTCTCTTCTTTCTCATCTCTTCTCTCTTCTTTTTTCTTTTTTGTGCCTACATATGATTGAGAACTCAAGGTATTTATCTTTCTGTGCCTGGATTATTTTATTAGGTTGGTGCAAAAGTAATTGTGGTTTTTGTCATTAAAAATAGTTGCAAAAAACACAATTACTTTTGCAAAAACCTAATAATTAACAAAATGTCCTCTAGGTTTATTCATGGTGCCATGAATGACAGGATTTATTTTATTTTATGATTGAATAGTATTCTTTTGTGCATATATACTACATTTTCTGTATCTATTTATCTTTTGATAGACATTTAGGTTGGTTCCACATTCTATCTATTGTGAATAATGCTGTAATAAACTGGAGCGAGGGTGTCTATTTGATATAGTGATTTTCTTTTCTTTGGATAAATACAAGTGTGGGTTTATGAATCTTATGATACTTCTATTTTTAGTTTTTATAGAAATCTCCACATAGTTTTTTACAATATCTGTACTATTTACATTCTCACCAATAGTGTAAGAGTTCATATTTCTTCACATCCTCACCATCATTTGTTATTTTTGTATTTTGATAATAGTCTTTCTGAGATAAGATAATATATCATTGTGGTTTTAATTTGCATTTCCATGATTATTAGTGATGTGGACCCTTTTTCATATATTTGTTTGATGTATTTGTGTATCTTCTTCTGAGAAATGTCTATTCAAATTATTTGCCTAATTTTAAACTGTATTTTTTGTGATATTATTGTTTGAGTTCCTTGTATATTCTGGGTATTAGTATTTTCTTGATGAATAGTTTCCAAATATTAGTTTACAGGTGGCCTCCTCACTCTCTTAATTGTTTTCTTTGCTATTCAGAAGCTTAGCATTTTTCTATTCCAATTCCATTTGCCTGTTTTGTTGCCTGTGTTTTTGAAGTTATAACTATAAACTCTTTGCCTCAACCAATATTCTGAAGTGTTCCTCCTAGGTTTTCGTTTAATAATGTTATAGTTTTGGGTCTTATATTTAAATCTTCAATCCACTTTGAGTTTATTTTTGTATATGGTAATAGGGGTCCAGTTTCATTCTTCTGCACATGGATATCCTGCTTTACCAGCACCATTTAATGAAGAGGGTATACTTTCTCCAATGTATTTTCTTGGTGTCTTTTTGTTGAAAATCAGTTGACTGTAAATACAGCATCTAGATTTATTTATGGATACTCTATTGTATTTCATTGTTTTTTAAACCAATTTTATACACTTACTATGCTATTTTGGTTACTATACCTTTGCAGTATATTTTGAACTCAAATGGTATAAGGACTTTAGCTTTGTGTCTTTTGCTCCGTATTGCTTTGGCCATTTGGGGACATTTTTGCTTCCATACAAATTTTAGGATTATTATGTTCTATTTCTGTGAAGAATGCAATTGGTATTTTGATAGGGATTGCATTGAATCTGTAAATTGCTTTGGGTAGTATGGTCATTTGTAACAATACGAATGTTTCTAATCCATGAGTATAAGATGCCATTCCCTTTGTTTTTGTCCTTTTTAATTTCTTCCATCAGTGTTTTGTACAAGTTTTTCTTGGAGAAGTCCTGCAACAACTCTGTTAAATTTATTCCTATGTTTTGTTTGTTTGTTTGTATTGTTTTATAGACATAGTAAGTGGGATTACTTTTTCAATTTCTTTTTCAGCTAGTTCAGTACTGATGTATGTAAATGATACTTATGTTTTATGTTGATTTTTTATCTTACGACTTTACTAAATTAGTTTATCAGTTTTAAAAGGCTTTTTGGTAGAGTCTCAAGGTTTATATATATATATATATATATATATATATATATATATATATAAGATTATGTCATCAGCAAAGAGCAACACTTTGGCCTCTTCTTTTCTGATTTAAATGCCTTTTATTTATTTTTCTTGCCTAATTGTTCTGGCTAGGACTTACAATACTATGTTAAAAAATAGTGGTAAAAGTGTACATCCTTGTATTATTTTCCCTTATCAGACTTTCTCCATTCAGTATTTTGTTAGGTGTTGGTTTTGGCATAAATGGCCTTTATTGTGTTGAGTTATGTTTCTTTTATTCCTAATTTGTTGAGAATTTTTATCAGGAAATGATACTTAATTTTATCAAATGTTTTTTGCATCTATTGAAATGATCACGTTTTTTTTTCCTTCATTCTGTTATTGCAATGTATCACATTTATTTATGTATGTATGTTGAGACATCATTGCATCCCTTGGATAAATTGCATTCAATAATGATGTGTGTTCTTTTTGATATGTTGTTGAAATTGTGTTAGCATTTTGTTGAGGATTTTTGTATTTATATTTATAAGGGATACTGTCTTATACTTTTCTTTTTGTTGTTGCCTTTCTGTCTAGCTTTTATATGAAGATAATGCTGACCGCATAAAATGAATCAAAATAAAAAGAACTCCCTTCTCTTCATTTTCTTTGAAATAGCTCAGAAGAATAGGTTTCATTATTTTTAAAAGTTTGGTAAAAATTTTCAGTATAGCCATCTAGTCCTGGAATTTTCTTTATTGGGAGACTTTTTATTACTGATTTGATCTTGCTACTCATTGGACTGTTCTGTTATTTTTTAAAATTACTTTGTGTTTTAATCATTATAAGTTATACATATTCTGGAATTTATCCATTTCCTCTAGGTTTTTCAATTTGTTGGTGTATAGTTGTTCATAGCAGTCTCAAATATTCTTTATATTTCTGAGGTATCTCTTGTAATGTCTTCTTTTTCATTTTTTATTTTTTTATTTAAGTGTTCTCTTTTTTTCTTGGTTAGTCTAGCTAGCAGTTTATCAATTTTATCTTTTCAAATAAAAAACTTACTGCTTCATTCATTCTTTGCATTTTTTTGTGCTCTATTTCATTTCATTTTGCTCTGATCTTTGTGATTTATTTCCTTCTACTAATTTCAGGTTTGGTTTATTCTTGCTTTTCTAGTTCCTTGAGATGCATTAGTTTGTATGTCCATTGATCCTTTCTATATAAAGGAATATGTCCTTTATTCCTTTCTTTATATCCTTTGTATATCCTTTATTTCTATGTTATTGCTTACCTCTATACTTTGGTGGCTTTCTGTTTTACATGACGGTAGATATTTTCCTTTCACTTACAGATGTAGGACTCCTTTAAGATTAGATTGTAGGTCAGTCTAGGGGTAATTAATTTCTTCAGTTTTTGATTCTTTGGAAAGGATTTTATTTCTTCTTAATTCCTGGAGAATAGCTCTTCTTGGTATAGCATTATTGGCTAACAGGGCTTTTTTCTAGTACTTCAAATATATCATCCCATTCTCTCCCGGCCTATAAGGTTTCTGCTGAGAAGTCTGATGTTAATACATTGGGGACTTTTTTTTTTTAATTGTATTTTAGGTTCTGGGGTTCATGTGTAGATCATGCAGGATTGTTGCATAGATACATACATGGCAATGTGGTTTGTTGCCTCCATCCCCCCCTCACCTATATCTTGCATTTTTCCCCATGTTACCCCACTCCCCACTGTCCCTCACCTAAACTGCCCCAATAGGCCCCAATGTGCGATGCTAACCTCCCTGTGTCCATTTGTTCTCATTGTTCAACACCCAATTATGAGTGAGAACATGCAGTGTTTGATTTTCTGTTCTTCTGTCAGTTTGCCAAGAATTATGGTTTTCAGATTCATCCATGTCCCTACAAAGGACACAAACTCATCATTTTTTATGGCTGCATAGTATTCCACATTGTATATGTGCAATATTTTCCTTTTCCAGTATAACATTGATGGGCATTTAAGTTGGTTCCAGGTCTTTGCTATTGTAAACAGTGCCACATTGAACATACCTGTGCATGTATCTTTATAATAGAATGATTTATAATCCTTTGGGTATATACCCAGTAATGGAATTGCTGAGTCAAATGGAATTTCTATTTCTAGATCCTTGAGGAATCACCACACTGTATTCTGCAATGGTTGAACTAGTTTGCATTCCCACCAACTGTGTAAAAGTGTTCCTTTTTCTCCACATCCTCTCCAGCATCTGTCTCCAGATTTTTAAAATGATTGCCATTCTAACTTGTGAGAGATGGTATCTCAATATGGTTTTGATTTGCATTTCTCTAAGGACCAGTGATGACGAGCATTTTTTCATATGTTTGTTGGACTCATTTATGTCTTCTTTTGAAAAGTGTCTGTTCATATCCTTTGCCCACTTTCCAATGGCTTTGTTTAGTTTTTTTCTTGTAAATCTGCTTTAGTTCTTTGTAGATTCTGGATATTAGCCATTTGTCAGATGGGTAGATTGCAGTTATTTTTTTCCAGCTCTGTTGGTTGCCAGTTCACTCTAATGATTGTTCCTTTTGCTGCACAGAAGCTCTGGAGTTTAATTAGGTCCCTTTTGTCTATTTTGGCTTTTGTTGCCAATGCTTTTGGTGTTTAAGTCTTGAAGTTCTAACCTATTCCTATGTTCTGAATGCTTTTGCCTAGGTTTTCTTCTAGAGTTTTTGTGGTGTTAGGTGTTATGTTTAAGTCTTTAATCCACCTGGAGTTAATTTTATTGTAAAATGTCAGGAAGGGGTCCAGTTTTTGCTTTCTGCACATGGGTAGCCAGTTTTCCCGATATCATTTATTAAACAGGGAATCCTTTCCCCGTTGCTTGTTTTTGTCAGGTTTGTCAAAGATCAGATGGTTGTAGATGTGTGGCATTGCCTCCAAGGCCTCTGTTCTGTTCCCTTACTCTATTTCTCTCTTTTGGTACCAGTACCATGCTCTTTTGATTACTCTAGCATTGTAGTATAGTTTGAAGTCAGGCAACATGATGCCTCCAGGGTGTCTGTTTGGTTCTTTCTTTATTATATCTTCATCATTGATGAGTTTATTATTGAGATCATAAATTATTTTTCTGATTTTATTGTATTGACTGTGTGTTTTCTTGTATCTTACTGTCTTTTAGATCATTATTTTTTTATTTATTTTCAGTTATTTCATAGATTTTCTTTCCTTTTGGATCTGTACTATACAATTATTGTGCCTTTGTAAGTCATTTTGGACATGTCTTGTTTCCTCGCTTTTTCTTATTTCTCGTGTACTTATAATGATATCTACGCATCTGGTGTAACAGTTGCTTCTTTCAATTTTATGAAATGACTTTTATAGAAAAATACTTTCCTGCAGATGTATCTACAGAGTTGGTTGGGTAAAATGCTTTGGCCTTGATTCTGGGTAGGCTCAATAGGGTAGTTTCTGTGTGATGTCGTCTGCTGTAATCAATGTCAATGGAGACAGTGGGCTGGGCATGCTAGTCCTCAGGCCTGCAGGCAGTGTATGTGTGCATCGGTACTGGCAGTATTGATGGGGGCTGAGTTGGACCCTTCTTGGACCCCCAAGTGGCATGTGTGAGTGCTGGCAGTGACATCAGCAGGCCAGTTCTTGAGACTGTGTTGAGCTTATGGCATTTAGAGTAATACTAGTAGTAGTAGGCTGGCCTTTGGGTCCCTAAGTAACATACGTGGGTGCCATGATGACAATGGTAGGCTTGGCAGGCTGGTCCTCATGCCCTCAGTTGCCATGTTTGGGTTGATGCTAACAAATGAGGCAGTAATAGCAGGCCTGTTTTAGGTCCCCAGGTAGCGCACACATATACCAGTGGTGGTAGGTGTGGCAGACCTGTCCTCACATCCCTGTAAGATGTGTGTGGGCACTTTCAGCAGCCCATAAGGTAGACCCATCCTCAGAGTCTTTTTGTTCTATCTGTACCCTTTCTGGGGCATTGGACTCCATACTTCCTGGGGCTTAGGAAACTGTGTGGGTTAGAATTCTGGAGAACTGACTGTACTAATGGGTCCAGTAAGCACCACAATGCTAAAGTCCTATGGGCATACATGGGGGGATATCAGCTAGGTTTGAGGGATGTAGAGACGAAAGGGCTGTTGAGCTCCAGAGCAGGATGTAGTGTAGTGTGTGTTGGGCTCTCAGAATGGCTCCAAAAAGGATCCAAATGATTTAGCCCCTTAGATCTCAGGAGTGTGCAGGAATCAGCATGACTTTTTTCTTTGAAACGATGGAGCCATCTTGCTTCCAATACATAGCCCAGGAACTGTGAAGAGCAGGGGGCTCTCTTACGGCTATAACTGCAGGCATCCATGGTAAGAATGTGGATCACTATAGATTTCTCTCTTACCTTTCTCCTTAATGGAGAATCTTTTCAGGATCTGAGCTGATCCTGTTCAGGCAAGCTGCTTTGCTTCCACTTCCTTTTGTGCCTTAGCGGGCCTCTGTCACTTCTATGCTTAATTGTTGTGTTTTCTCTTAGACATTCTATTTGGCATGTGGTTATCTATCTGCTGTTTTGGTTCTCATTTGTTTAGAAGCCAAGTGCTGAGAGCCTCAAGTTAGCCATCTTAATGATGTTTTTTGTGTTAAATTTAAATTGAGATAAAAAAATTAAAATAAATTTAAAATGACATCTTTAACTTGTCACATAAAAAAGAAAACAAAGAAAAGCATGGTAAAAGTGCATACAACTTAAAATTTTTTATTATAATTTTAAGAAGAAATATAATAGAAATTCATATAAGATTTTCCTTTCTGAAATAAATGTAATTCTAATATTCACTGCAAGAAATTTAATATAATTTTCTTGTTTTAGTTCACCAAGTTCATTTAAAGATAAATGTATTACTTTGCTAGAGTCAAAGAAAAATGCCATAAAGCTGAAAAGACAAACCTTTATATAAAACAACTACTTGAAAGGAAAGCAATTCAAATGAATAGGTCTGTAACAATATCTGATGTACTGGTCCAATTAACTACTAACACTAATTGTATGAAGGTGCACCAATATCCTTTACTGAAAAGCATTTGATACTAATGTTAAAAATTGATGGTTTTCCTGCAAGTGTTGTAACACTGCACTAAACATTTTATCATGTTAATATAAGTTGAATAGGGAAGAGTCAAAGAGGTTAGATTTTTCAGATATTAAGAATTTAATATATATAACATGAAAAAATTATATGCCTTCACCTTTCTCAATTAAAAATGACTGTTCCCTTACTGTGGGTAATTTATTTTTAAGTAAAACAATGGTAAAAGTTGAACATACTTAATCTAAAATATGAAATGTTCAAAATTTAAAACTTCTTGAGCACCAACAGGATGCCCCAAATAGAAATTTCCACAACTTAGTACTGAATGCAAACTTTGTTGCATGTACAAAATTATTATAAGTATTGTGTAAAATTGCCTTCAGCCTATGTGTATAAGGTGCATATGAACCGTAAAGAAATTTTGCATTTAGACTTTGGTCCTATCCCCAAGATACCTGATTGTGCATATGCAGAAATTATAAAAACTGGAACAATCTGAAATTCAAAATATTACTTGTCTCATGCATTTTAGATAAGGGATATTCATAAGAATATACACATAAAAATTATTACCTTGGGCTCATAGCCAGAGCCTAATTATTAATATTTTGCAGTGAGTATCATAGTATGAAGAAAATGTTCCACTGCTCTCACCATAATTTTTTTAAACACAAATTTATTTTCAAACAAAAATTGGTCTAAACATTATTTTTCTATTAGCTTTCACAATTATATCATTTTAAAATTAAGAGTCATTACCAAGTCAATAATTACTTATCAATGAAAGACTTTTCTGATCTTGAGAAGTGACTAATTTTTCAGGTTAGTTACACATTAGGGTAAAAAGAAAGTCCACAGATGCTAGAGTGCAGAGAAAGAAGCTTTTATAATTTGTTTTCCATAGGCAAATGTCACATTTAACATCTCAGAAATTTTACATTTATGAAGGTGTATCAGAAATTATGGCCAGTAAGTTGGTATAGAAAAGTTAAGGGAACAATGTAAATGTATCACAATAATCACTATTTCAAGGATTTTACAGAGATGAAAAATAAAAAGAGTTTTTTGGACCTTCCTATCATCATTTGTTTGTCAAACTTTATTTTTTGAGACACCTCTTTGTGAAATAAATCTCTGTGTTTATATTACTCTAGGCTAGTAGAATACCATTGGTTTGTGCAGGTGATTGTTTATTCAAATAAATAGTAAATAGTCCTTATCATTAAGACCATTATTTTATTTCCATATGAGTAATATGTTGAAGAAATTCCCGTTTTATTTAACTTACCTATGAACCATAGAAACCACAGAAGTTTCCATAGCTTCTAAGTTTTTAAGGTGTCTCTAAGGTCATTTCAAATGGATGAGTTAGGAAACATCCATGATAGATAAGCTAAGCAGACATAACCTATGTATTTACTAGTAACAGCTTGAGAGCTGTGAAAATTAGGCAATTACCAGAAGAAATGCTTGTGAAGCCATGATCTTTGTCTGTTTCATCTCCATGGAGAAGAGCAGGAAATGTGTAGTAGCTAAATAAATGTTGATATGTGTAGTAACTAAATAAATGTTAATATGTGTAGTAGCTAAATAAATGTTGATATATACTATGGTCAGAAAAGAACAACCATGATAAAATATATCACATATTTATCCTAGCCTTTACCTATAGATCTGTGATTTGTATTTATCTACTTCATAGTTAGTTAGAAAAATTGTGGCCCACTTCAAGTCCTTTTGATGTGTATGGATTCAAATGGCAAACTAAGAAAACAGTAGCTATTTTGAATTTACTGCGATGATCTGCTCAGTTATTCATTCATTCTAACCTGATAAGAATGGATACATGAATAATTATGTTCATAACATATGCTCTAGCAAAATCCTTTTTTTTCTTTTATCATACTTTAAAATCCTTTTCCACAGTCTTTTCTTTACTATTTTAATCCTCTCTATTATATATGTGTGTTAATATTCAGCATCTTCCTTCTCCTTCCATCACAAAAGTTTATCCACATTAACATGTGGAACCCACACTGTAGCAAGAATGCATTTCAAAGAAGAAGGAAGCCCACTAATTCAACGGAGCAGGTGAATCAACCAGTAACACTCAATAAGATGTCAGGTATTCAGTGAGATTTATCTCTAATTTCTATTTCTTTTTAGGATTACTAACCTAAGAAAATAGGGCCAACTGCTCTCAGAAAAATGCTGAGATTCTGCTAGAAGGTAGTGGAAGGAAAGAGGGCTTATTAAATTTCTGACTAAGTTCAATCTCCTTTGATCAATTAACTTTCAGAAGCTGGGAAACAGATATTTAGAAAGTGTTTAAAGTATTCCACTTTACAAATTGACTTGGCTTAGGTGACACATGCATTTTATGCAGATGCATCAATATTAGAGATTTCTGTAGTTTTATAACTTTCTGGTCTACCTCATTTTCTTAGACCCTGCAAAGAAAACATAAAAAATATCCTTGTAATTATGCAAAATATGGCATAAGTTTGTTTCCTGTTTTAAAAAAAGTGGTTATGTAATCAAGCATCAAAATTAGCTGTTTATTTTTTGTAGATCAGTCAGCTCCCATTTTTCATCTTTCACTGAATAAAACAATACAACTCTACCTTCTCATTTTCTTCCTGGACTTGTGGCCATATAAATTAAGGAAGTCACTCTTGCATTATATTGAAAGTTGTGACATTCAAAATTCAGAGATTCAATTAAGGTAAAAAGAAATCTTAGATGAGAAACTGATCATAAATGTTTTCTTAAAAAATTTGCTAGTGTAGCATTATATAGACGGTAAAATTTTGAATGCTATTAGTATAATTCTGTTCTAAATAAATCCAAATAAAAATAAATATCTAAAAATATTAGGTAAAATTTGTCTATAATCGCCCTCTTATTAGATAATTCACTTTGAAAAAAGTAGTTTGTGCTGAATGAGGGAAAA